CCTGTAATCAGGGTTAGCTTAGCCCAGGCTCTCCAGCCCATGGGGCAGGCGCCCTGTTGCAGATGGGAACAGCAGAGGCAGTGCAGAAAGGCAGTATATGGTAGTGGTTAGAGCAGGAGACTAGGAATTAGTAGGTTTTCATTTTATTTCTGACTGTCACAGACTGCCTGTATGACCTCAGGCAAGTCAGTTAGTCTCCCTATGCCTCCATCTGTAAAAAGGAGATAATATTTCTTCTCCCAGTTTCTGTCTGTCTTGTCTATTTAGACTTTAAACTCCCAGACAGGGACTGGCTCTCTACGTGTATGTACAGCACCTAGCACAAGATCAGGGTGTGCCTGGTGAATGCTATGACGCCTGGCATGCCAGTATTCATCTGTGATGGTTCCGAGCCACAACTGGAAATGCCAGCATGGGGCAGGTTTAATGCATGAACAGAAATGAGATGATTTGTTTGTACATGCAAATTCGAGTTTGTTTCCAGACACATTAGTCTGAGGACAATTTGTCTGTAACTCTAAAACAAGAGAAACGGAGTTGGGTTCTCAATTCACAGTTCCTTTGTCTCCTCTGTTCTACTGGAGCAGCTGCTAGAGTGTGCAAACCTCAAAGATCAAAGTACCCGAATCCCATCCTGCACTCCAGGCTCGATAACTGTCCTTGAGCATCTTTCCAATGTCAGCCAGTTTTAATTTCCTCATTGCCTTTCCCCCCCTTGTGCTCTAACACTCCTCAGTGACTATATTGAGGTCAAGTTTCCCTCTCACCCACATCTAAGTGTCTAACACAGGAACCCACAAATTTCTCTGAACGTCACCAGAATCATAGATAACACCATTAATATTATGGTGGTTTTTTCTCCTTTTGAGAGTGCGTGAGATGCAAGCTCAAAAGATTTGGTGTATTCCTTCACACTCTGGATGCTTATCTGACTATTATCCAAACTGATCTGAACTTTTATGAGTTGCCTTCAGTCTCTGTGGCTCATAGTTCCCCCTCACTGCAGGGCCCTAGAGCCTGGACCACAGCTCGAGCCCGGAAGTCTACACCACAATGAAACTGCCCCACAGCCGCAGCCCTGAGAGAGCCTGAGTTGGCTGGCATGGGTCAGCTGCGGGTTTTTCTTTGCTGTATCAACATACCCTACATTAGTCCTCTTCTCCAAGTACACTCAGCTCTCTTTGGATGGGTTTGGCGACACCCCTGCTTTCTAAAGCTCTCTTAATATGGAGATATACCTATCACATAGAACTAGAAGGGACCTTGAAAGGTCATCAAGTCCAGTCCCCTGCCTTCACAATAGGACCAAGTACTGTCCGACAGATTTTTTTTCCCCTTCCCCCAGATCCCTAAATGGCCCCCTGAAGAATTGAGCTCACAACCCTGGGTTTAGCAGGCCAATGCTCAAACCACTGAGCTATCCCTCCCTCCCTCTTCTTCCCATGTGAAGTGAAATTGAGCTTCAAAGCCACATTAATGGTTGCCTCATTTCCCCTTGTAGTGACCCGTAATTGTAGCTGGGAGTGGCACGTACCCAGAAGGGTACTTTGTGGTTCTTCTTTTGTGGCACTAACAAGAAGAATTCTCTTCAAATCACGTATGACTCTCAAAGTTCAGGTATACTCTTAATAGGGAAAAAATGAAGTCTCCAGTGAAATTAGAACACAGGACAGCAAAGAGATCAGGTTCACTCATTGTGCGACTCAGAAGAGGAGTTATCCCAGCAGATGGCCGGAAGAATTCTACAGTCCATACAGAGTTTGCTATGGCACTTTGCCTCATCTTCTGTGGGGTCCTGCCTATGACTTTGTATCAAAAGGCTTCATATGAAGAGATGTTTGAAGATGATGTTTAGGAAGCTGTAATTTTCCTGCTTTTTGTCAATGACCAGAATTGTTTCTGAGAAACACAGAAATCTTGCTATGGCTACAAACCGGAGAGCATCAGTTCACTTCTTAACACCCACAGGGGATATTTTAATGGCCAAGCTTTACAAAGGGGCCTGAAATGCTGGAGAGAAAAACGGTTTCTTTAAATACTTCAGCTGATAGACGTGTTTCTGCATCAAGGTGAAGTCACTTATGTTTCTCTCTCTCTGCAGCTGTTGACCTGCTGGTGAATCAGAGCCCTGCCTGTGTCAAGGAAGAGGAAGGGAAAGCGCTGACTATAGAATGTAAATTCAGGGTCCCGGAGAAACCCAGCACCAAGTACTCTGTTAAATGGTATAAGAACGGGACTGATGGACACGAGAAGGAGCTGAAAAACGAAACGGGCTTAGTCACAACTCTAGATTTCTCAACAGGCCTGGCGTCTCTCACCTTGACTAAAGCCAGCGTGAGTGATTCTGGGTTCTACAGATGTGACTTCGGTAAAAATGGCCGTGGGAATGGAACCAGAGTGACGATCCAGGGTAAACAGCAGCATTATCTTCTCTGATCTGCATTGTCAGGATAATACACTGTGGTCACCACAGACTCTCACTTCCCACATGGTCACTGACACCCCACAGCTACTTCCTAGCCTAGGACAGGGAGACGCAGTGTTATCTCAGAGATAGGCAGTGTGTAAATTATGGAGTGTTGTTGTAGCCGTGTGGGTCCCTGGATATTAGAGAGACAAGGTGGGTGAGTGTGTGTACCAGGCCCCATTAAAGGAGCAGCGAAGGTGGGTCCTCCAGCCCTGCCTAGAAAGGCTGCAGGGAAGCAGCCAATCAGAGCACAGCAGGCTCAGTTAAAAGGAACTGCTGGGC